CCTGTATTATATCAGCCTGTTGTTGGCTGTATTACTTCCTGTGTTGCCGCCTGTGCTGCGGCGCAGCGCTGGCCCCTCGGGGCCATAAGGGCCGGGGGCTGGGAAGCAGCCCGTGCCCCCTGCCCCCTCGCGCCCCGCAGCGGCCACCACCGTAGGCGTAAAACTGTATCTGTATGCGGACCTATAAAAAGTGTGTGCAGATTGGTGTAGCTACATGCCTAGCTGTATATGTCTGCACACACCGATGCACTCGGTACAGAGGTACCAGGATCTACTCGAGTGTATGGCTATAAAATGAAATAAGCATATAATATACATGGCATGTTCTTAAAATACTGCTACATCTGTGATATTTTAATATATAATGCTTTAACTTTTATGTATGAAGATTATATATTTTAATGAATATGCATTTCTGAATATTAACTATTTTATATAATAATTTATATATGATAAAATAGACAAGACTATCAAAATGCATGTATCAGGTGTTACCTTGCATATAAATTATTGTAAAAATATAATAATGGTTGTATAGTACAATAAAAATGGTAAATGTGGTTTCTATTTAAGAACATATAACAAATACTATGTGGGTGTACTCTTTCTAATGAGTTTATATCTTGTTTTGCCTAAAATATATATAAAGTAATTGTTACATATAGGTATGCAGTGAATGTCACACATGTGCATGTGTGCGCACATGTATGTACAAATGGGTTTTTATATGTAGATTGCACTCATATGGAAATGCTATGTGTAAGCATATAGAGTGTATGTATTTGTGTATATTTTATCTGTATAATATAGGTTATATAAAATTATAAACATGGCTATATGTATATGAAGTGTGTGCATATACTCACTATATGTATGTACACACTGCTATACTCCATATATGGTGAATGTACACAGTATGCTCTAAACTACACTAAGCATCTGCTATATACCTTATCTTCTTAAAACACAGCTAAAGGGGCACAAGCAGCAGAGAGGTGTTGCTGTGCTTAACAGCGAGGTGCCTGCTGTGAGCACCCCACACACGGAACCAGCCCCCTGTGCCTGTGCCCCGTGCCCATTACAACAGGTGTGTGTGTGTGTGTGTGTGTGTGTGTGTGTGTCTGCATGTCTGCTATACACCAAATACATTCTGTGCAGTACAGATACAGCTGGATTAAAAAAAAAAACACCCCCCCCACCCTGCCTTTTTACATATCCATATATTATATAGAGAGAATGCTTAAAAAAAGAAAAATCAAATAATGCTACTATTGATGCTCTAGGAGAATATTAGGCAGAGAGACACCCACACACACTCTCTCTGGCTCTCAACAAAATGGTATCCAAAGTTATACACACTATATATTATGCATACATGTAACATTGAAAAGCATGTGTTTCTTTAAGATTGTATTTTTTAATATATATTGAGCAAACTATAAAAAAAATGAAAAAAGGAGTGGACTGATGTATATTTAAATGGAAATACAGCTTCATCTACACCATTTTAATGAGGCTATAGTAAATACTATGTGTCTGCACACAACAGCTTTATAATGTACACTGTTACAGTGTCTAAAATGTATAGGTGTCAGAGTTCACAGCTGTGTGTTGCCCTTAGTCATTCTTTTCATATATACAATGCATATTATGTTACATTATTTTAATCATCTAAAAATGAGTCAAATAATAGTTTATTAAAAGGAAAAGTGCAGCTGCCTGTGCTGCAGGTAGATGTGTGTCCCCTA